TAATGTGGATATTAATATAATAGAAATCCGTTTCTCACTATACGGATATCCGGATATCCGTTTATCAAAATCTCTCATCCGGATATCCTATCCGTTCATCAAAACCCTATCTGGATATCCTATCCGTTCATCAAATCTCTATCCGGATATCCGCGTATATCCTAAGGATTTTACTATCCGGATCCGAGCTCTATATACAATATATGCAATAATTTTTGTGCTATCATATTTTTGAAGTAGTATATGACCAAATTTAATAACAGTTTTCTTTTAATGTAGTAGTTGAGACAGTATTCAACGCGTGATTTTATCAGAGTTGATGTCGAAAGGAATCTTTTTAAAAGTTGAAATAAATTTCTGTACCATTTCTACCCGACACGGGATGCAAGGTAATATCGTCAAATAACATTAGTTATAGATAGTGAAGAACCATCATCTGTTCTGACAAAACTTCATTTTAAAATGGACCACGATGACAAAAATAAATTTTCTAACATAGAGGCATACTGCAGGCAGGGGTGGACATTTATTTGGGGCATGCTGCAACAAAACCAGACAAAGTGAACATTGGTATTACTAAGGATTTCAGGGATCAAAATTTAGTCATTTGTAATGTGATCATAACTAACAGTTTTATAATATCCCATTTGTTATCTTAAGTGATATATAGAACTATCCCTGTATAAAATAGTTAAGATGAAACTCATTTACATCAGATCTACCATGGAACCCAAGAATTACAGCACCATTAGAAGTATTTTAAAAAGGAACAGGGTGAAAAAATTGCTCCTTATATTTTCAAAAATAGAATCTCAAAATCACTGGTCATTTATAGAACATAAATCTTCTTTGAGTATATTAATATTTTCTTTTTTGCTTATTCTATTTACCCCAAACCTTATTATTATTGTTCCTAAAATGTATACTACAAAATAAAGCTCTTTTGCCAAGACTTTTTTTTTTTTCAAAATGAAATATCTGCATAAATTTAGCCAATCATTTTTTAGAAATTCTTTAAACATGAATTCAAACGACTTAACCGTTTGGAAGTAACTTTTTTAAAATAAAATGATTTGGCGGCACTTTTACTTGAGAAAGAAGTAAAGGGTTGATTTTTTTGTGAATATTGAAACACGCTACTACAGTGCAGATCACATGATATTTCAATTTTTTTTAATAATGATTGAAAAAATTCACATATTAATATATACAATTAGAGCTTGGATCCGGATATTAAAACGGATATCCGGATACTTATCCGTTTAAATTATTATTATAGAAATCCGGATATCATATTCATTTGTATTATTGTGATAGAAAAACGGGTTTATCGAAACACCGTCCAATCATATGATGGCATGTGACATAGCCTTTTTCGTT